CCAACCAAAACAACTTTTCCATGTGGCAAGTGACAGGCCTTAAATACTGGGGTTCGCCAGGGCGCGGTGGAGAAAGTTAGCTTCAGACAAAAAACGTCATCAAATAATAAAACGCATTAGCACGTGTACTAACATCAGTTCCACCCAAAAATTGACGTTTCGTTGGTTTACTGCACAACCTACCCCTGGAACCTCAGAGGAAGTACCCACTGGGCTGTAAAATACCCAGCACGTACTCTCAATCAGCCATGTATCATCGGCGCAAATATTTTCTCCACAACCCAGGCGACACAGATAAAACAGAAGTCATTCATTAAAAAATGCCCGAGCTTAGCAATATATTTAAATCCCCACACTGGAGAGCGAAAAATTTCACTGCGCTGCAACGGATGGGGATCGCATCCGTGCATCCGTTAATTAGGTGAGGCTTTGTAGAAGAAACACCCCGCAACAACGTACTTTGCTTTATGCAAAGCCAAGTGACCATACGCATTGCTAATACACGATCACTGTTGAGAGTGAACGATTAAAAAATAACGAAAAACATATGTACATGGGAGAAGGGATGAGAGGTGTCGTTACTCGTCTTCGCAAACAAGGCACGTTTGCAAGAACACCTGGCAATTTGAACGGCTTGCTATACCACGGTAGCTCGAAGAATATGCGGCCCTCTGTAACGTACGTAGATTGGAGCTGTTGGCAGATTCCGTTGTCGCATTTGATGATGGAAGCTTGTTTCATGAGTTTGCCGTTATAAAGGGGAAGAATGAGATGGCCATCAGGGGTCCGATTTTTCTCTCATCAGAAGCCCTCTTGTAGAGTTTCTCACTATGCCTGTTTCGGGGAGCACCAAATGATTTGCTTCATAAACCCCCGGTGATTTTAAAAGTTCCTCGAATATTCCCTCAACATGCACTTTCAAGAGAGGATAGACCTAGTGTCTCCCGATGATGACTAGCATAAATGCCCTTGGGAATCCCAAACCATCTGGTTGAATAAGCTGAATCCTTCCCAGTGCACTCGTGTCGGAGTACTCAATGGGTGACACTCAGTAGCTGGGATATGGTCTGAAAGTTTTAAAAGCCGCAAAAGCAACAAATGTCTTCTAAGAGCTTCAGCTTCTTTAAGGTGCTGAAGAGCAGTTTCCATTCTCAGACGCCTCTGCGCATTATGCACTATGCTTGAGATACGCAGTGGCTTGTGTTTACGGAATTGTGATGGTTACTATAGCTGTGGATCCACTCTGACTCATGGACCTGTGTATCTGCTACCCTGAGTGTAGCGTTCACTAAACTGTAGCATCCCTTTAGGCTCACTGGGGCTATAACTCTCGTGAACTTTGGTCTGCCTTGCCGAATTCTTCTGCGAAGTTTGATTTCTAACCTAGTTTATCGTCTTGATCATTGCCGCCTCCCACATTGCTGGCTGTCTGGCCCACTGCATCGACCAGAGACACATTGGCCGAAGCCTGAATGTCTCGAAGATGTCAAGCTGGAGCGCATTGGAGTCTACAGTATCCGGTGTGTCTCACTGATCACTCCTTGCTATGCAGACACTTCGTTACTTCGAAATCTGAGATTATCTTCGTTGCCAAACGTCCACTGGATTTCCCACATACCACCGACAAGCTGACGACGAACACCCGAGGAAAAATCTCACACCCGTCGTCGAAAAATCGGGTCCTATGCTTTTTCACGAATAATATCAAAGTTCACATCTAACCAGTTGCTGCTCTATCTTGAAGCATGCTCACATTGCGCATTTAAATGAAGCCACAGAGAAATCAATTGAAGCCATGAAAGCTAGACAGATACATGTGGATGGAAATGTTTGGACGCTAATAGGGTGTCGCTCTATTTCGTACGGTGCAAATACACCTGAAATCTAGGGTTGGGAAACTCAGGTGATATGGAGTAGTGTGGCGTGGAGCTTATGTTTGGGGATAAAGGGACTCTAAGGCAAGGAAAACAGCATCATTGGGCTTAACATATAGAAAATGTAAGTGGTGTAATGTAAGTGGCGATGGAATGACCTAGGCTGCAGCCAGACAGCAAAATAAAGACGAGGACTTATGTTTAGGTTGAGTAATAAAGGATGGAGTTTCTACCACGAGAAAAGACCAAACCGGGGACGGATAAACTCCCGGCAACAGTCTTGGTCGGATATGTTAGAGCGGATGTTATTTGTATTACTCAGAATCAGTTGGTCGTCACGGGAAGATTGGGTGGGTTCAAAGTCAAACTGACAGAGAGCACTTATTCGCGGCGAAAGTGTTAAGGTTATTGCATAACTGAGCAGTTTGAGGCGGTGTTTCATCTGAGGTGGGGCAAGTGGAACCGAAAAAGTAAAGTTATGGCGGACCGCTGGGAAGCTGGGTATGGCAGACATGGTACTGTCATCATGGCATCGTTCTTTTGTTCACTGATTGCCACGTAGATGTGCATCTCGGGTAAATCATTTAGAATTGTTGGGATCGGACAAAAGATTATCAGAACAGGGCAGTGTGTAGCAAGGATGTTATTGGGTCTGCCAAGAGATGGCGTAGGATTTTCCTGCCATCCAAAGAACTGTCTATTGTCCACTGACCATCATTTGCAAAGCAGTGTGACCACCTTCAAACCGTTTGAATCGGGTAAAAGCTCTGTCTTTGGCCTCATCAAGCTGCATCGACCAAGAACTACTCAGTAAAGAGTGCGGTTGAGTCCGCCTACACCCTCGAAAATTTGCCACCCTGGGCCACAATTCCGGTATAATTTTTCCAATAATGCTGGCCTGCATGCCTTCCTTACCCATAATCTCCATGTTTTCCAGCACTGCCCATACCTCTAGGATAACGTCATAGCATCTTGCATCTTGCAGACCGTTGATATCAACAAACTGAGAACAAAGTTTTCTCAACAATTGGCGTATGCTGCTTACAGTAATTAAAGACCTCCTTGTAACTCCCAACTGTTCTGTCAACTGGGCGTAGATAGTCGTGCCTACGATTACAAATAAAAACTGCATCCTATCTTTCAGGGAATGCAGGGAAACGGTCGTGGTGCTAACACGGAAGAAAGGTAAATAAAGGGAAGCGTCATTACAGATAGGCGAGAATGATTGACCTAAAGTAGCATTTTGCTGTTACCCGCCATCTGACCGCCTCATTCAGCGTTCCATAGAAACCCCTTTCCAATCAGCATATTCCATCCAAAGAAAGTAGTTTTGCCACAAGAAAGGTTGATTCGTGCTGATTCAAACTTTTGCATGCCTCGTGGTCTCACTGCCTTGTTCTTGTTGCGTGATTCTGGTGGTATCGCGTCCCCCTGTAGTCCAGGCCGCGCCCAAGTGCAGTTCCAGTGACCAAGTGAACCAAGTCCACAGGAATGTCCTGGAAGACCAACCAAAGCAAGAATTGGCGAGTTTTAACATATCAAAAAGCATTGGCTTAAATTTTGTTACATTTGTGCCTCCAACAGTAGTAATGGGCTGGTGTCAATGGTCACGGTTGTTTTGGTTTTGCCGAATGCACCTTTTCTGAATCAAACACACTCCATCGAAAACAACGGGTATAAGATGCTTGCTCACCTCCATACGAGTTGCTGGCACTTACCATACTGTACGCCCATTGGTTCTTCCCAGTGAAAAGACTTCCTAACTGATCCGAATGGCTAAACGAATCATTCTGCACTATCGCTAGGTCTGAAGGGGAATATGGGGTAGGACAGAAATGACTCCGCATGGGTTGACTGCAAAGACCTCGTCCAGTACACAGTTGTCAGAATCCAACCATCCAAAATTGTCAACCTCAGTCACTGTCTGTTCGCAGTGTAATTAGGAACCCGGGCTTCTGTTGCCCGGGAGACACTGAAGGAGCATTCTTGAGATGCAAGGTTAGAACAATACAAAATCGAGTTATTTAAATAGAGGTTCTTGACGTCTGATATCGGACAACGGGTTCAAAAGCAAAAAATTCGGAAGGCTTGTCGCTCATCATCGCCGCAGTCCACCTCGTGTCAACCGATTCCCAAAAATGCTGATTGGTTCAGATTTTACTGTATTGGTCTGGCTACCCAATAATTTGCTTTACCAGCAGTTTTCGGCAAAGAAAGAAAAATAATAACTCTAGATCGGGTATACAATAATAAAGAGGTCAGATGGAACGGAATCACTAATAATTGTTCTCTTTGAAATAGTTCGTCGTTGGCCCAGGTGAGCAAATCAACAATAATCCAATTATGGTGGTCCAGGGGCTTCTTCTGAACAGTCTCTACAGATAATAGATTCCGAAATGGTCTGAAATGTCTTAATACCAGAGTTAGCACATGAGACTCGCAAATGACCGCTGTAATCGCGAGAGAAATCAGAAGATGGAGTCGAGGCACGTGACCACACTTGTATTGCGTGTATTGTACAAGTGCGCGATTTTGTAGTTTTTCGTATTCAAACAGAAAATAATTATACAATTGACAAAATTCGTAGTTATAATGGAAGCAAAATTAAGGTACAGAAAACCACTTCATACAGCGTAGAGTTCGACTAATTGTGTTCTTATCCCGATGATAAATCCTAGTAAAGCGGCAAATATATAATTTGTTTTCACTTGTTCCGTCAGATTATACCATTGAGCCAAGCATAAATTGAGTGGCTGACATCTGCGAACAGTGAGCTGCCTATATGTCAGTTGTAGAATAATGGCGAGTTGTGCAGCAGGCCTTTCAGGAATTGTTTATTCTTGCTGTAGAATTGCGCTGTCCACCTACTAATCTCTCAGGCTTCTGCTTACTGCGTATCGCGGATGTTTCCTGATCCAAGCCTTAGGCTACTTACTAAAAACACCAATACGTTTTTCTGATGATCAGCAGTTAGCTTTTCGTGATCCCACAAAACTCAAGCTTTTCTGAGCAGAGGTTACACCTGGTTTAAACGGAGCTGTGGGAAATCAGTAAAATACAAAAACCCTATGGTGTGAATTAGTGAACTGGTTAGGTGTTAAAACTAACCAATTGAAAACCTAGTCCGCGAATTTTGATTTCCGCGGGTATTAGAGGTCGCTGCACTTTTGTGTAGTGGCGTGCGTTCTTCGTTGACCTCGGATTACTCTTATATATTTGCCGATTTGTGAGACCACATGTGAGATTCCCTTCCCTGTCTGTGCTGCATCATGAATTCTGAACATGATGCCATCCAAAGTACGACCGTGTTTGGCACTAACGGACCCTTAGTAGATCATCTAAACACCGGTGATTCTGGTACATTTGACTCTAGAATAGGTGGTGATGATACAAAGTTATCTTCAACTCTCAGGTCCTATCCTGATAGTTCAAGGTCAGCAACCGGATTTCGTGGTCACAAACACGGAAACCCTTTGCAAGCACTCAGTGAGCTCCTTGGGCAAAACTTGAAGATCGAGGGTCTTGCGGATTTCAAGGGTAAGTTCAAATGCTTGATTTTGTCATGCAGCTGGGGCTTTGTTTGCATTTCCTATCGGCACTTGGGAGGTTCAAAATTTGGGGACATTCAATTTTTAGTGTGCAGGGAAGCTGAACGAATACATATGCGTGAGAGTCTTGTGGTTTGACCGTCTGAGTGGCTGTGGGTGCAAAGGACCGAGGGACCATATAGCAGTTAACCGTTCACTGAAGGTAGACCGCTGCTCTGTTTATTGAGCTGGATGCGCAGCGTCGCACAATGGAGAGGAAATGACCCATGGTAAGCAAACCGCGGCACTCGTTCGGGTGCGCCGAGTGTAGTCGAAAATAACCATCCAGATGAGCAATCATTGGCTGAAATGATCCTCTGATCCATAGTTGTCATGTAATGTGATGAGTTGGGCTCGAGCCACCGACCTTGCCTTGAGTTACTTCGCTTCCTAATCACTAAGCTCTGGAAGGCTTTAAGCGCTGAACCTGAATACCACTCTAGCGGACACAATATCTAATAGAAGTCCTTGCGGAAACCATGCCACTGGCGACCACAACCAATGAAGCTTCGCTCCGCCTCGACGTAGAAAGCGCTAAACGATGTATGTTGAATAATGCTTTCCTTCATTAAAGGCAATAATCATGTCGTAGTAGGGATTAATTGGCTTGTAGATAATACTTACTCCCTGCTTTTCACCGATTGATATGCTGTTAATTCTAGCCGTAATTGTCAGGTGAATAACAATACGGTCTCGTAGTGCGCGTGTGATATGGACCTTTAGATATAGAGGAATTAGAACTCCATTCATACATGATAATTTCGAACTGACGACTCTGGAAGTACGAAGATTCCATAGATTTCTGAAAGTCAGTGGCAATCATTCAGTATACTTTGATTAAAAACTGATCCCAAGTTCATGTCCAAATTACACACAAGCCATTTGTCTGTCATGACACAAACGTGTGCATCATTAATGATGTGGAGTGACCCCCATACACGAGGCGTGAATCCGAGAATATCGCACTCATTACCGGGTCAGAGATAAAAACTGTTATTTGTCGCCAAGAAGCTGTCATTATCTTCCTCAGCCCATCCGATTTCAATTGTATTGACCATTCCGCATACTCACGGTTAAGGAAGAATGCCAGCTAATTCGGAATGTAACTTATGTCCTCAGCTCCTACTCCGCTTGTCTTCTGACGACTCAAGTGAGTCGCCGCAATATCTTCATAACCGGTGAGGTTTGTGTGGTCTGCTATCCGGTGGTCGTTGACACCCTGGAATGCACAATTCAGGGGGCCGTGTTTCCAGCAGTCAAATATGGGGTCAAATAGTCGTTTTGAACTAATAATCGTTCAACTTTAACACATGGTAAGCTGCCATGGCACCTGAAGGATATATGAGGGATAAGGTACTGCCAGTTTACCCAAGTCTAGACAAGAGCATTCCAAATGCCAGGGTTGGATCCGAGCCATGGACCTACCATTTAGTAAATTAGCGCCTTAATCACTATGTCAAACTCAGTTTTGAAATACTCGGGTATTCTACAACCTGCTGCGAAATCGATTAAGCAGAGCGCCTTATGAATCGACGTCTTGATCGCCTGACGAAGCGCTTAGTTTGAGTCTAGCTACCCTCCTCTAGCTATCCTCTCGTTCTCCCCCAACAATCCCGTTGGCTAGGGGTATATAGTAAAGTTATATTTTTGAAACATAATAAGTCGCCCAGCGAAGACGAGCTTTTCGCCGAACTTTCCGAAACTATAGGAGTAAGGCTGCATTGACCAGATTTGCACACTGCGACACCTTAAGCTGCGCTAAACTCCGAGGATGGAATCTTTGCAGAATCGTTTGAGGTACTACTAGCTGAACTCGTGGACTTACGTTGGAAACCTAATAAAGAGACATCGGTTTGAGTCACACTTCATTCAATAACGGTTAGCTTCTACGTTCGGGTAAGCTGGCCCTTTTTGTTAATTGTGCATTAGGATCGGCTGCAGGGTTGCTGCATATTCCTTCTCATTCTGCTTCAAGTGACAATTGCCATAAATTGTCCCAGACAATCGGTATTGGATTTCACTATAGAAGTTCAAGTGTCAACTTTCGCAGGGAACAGGACGGTCATTCCCCTGTAGTCTGGAGTGTCGTAGGTACACAGTTTGTGTTACTACCAAGCACCTTTTCTGTTCATCATGGTCAGAAACGCGAACTTACTGACAGGGAGGTTTGTGGTTCGAAGCTCACCCCAGCATCTAAACTACTCTGTAGGCTTTGGCAATCTGACTATGTCGGCCTTCATGCCTCCAGGTGAAGTGGTAGTTAGGCACGTAAAAGTGTTATTACGGTAAGGCATTTGGTGACGCCAGCATACTTTAAAATTGGTCCTTAAACATTTCTCGCTGCTGAAGATCTTCGATCCGTAAGAGCTAGGTCTCGCATCCGTTAAGTAGGAGAGGGCGAGTAGCAGCTTTCCAGACATGAACCTTGATTCGAAAATTGGTTCTCATCCTGTACCTCCAAGTTCCCATTTGAACGAAAACTTCCCAGCATTTACTTTAGGATGAGGTGTTTGAAGTCGCTACCTATCGGTTGTAGCATCTCTCAGCATAAGGATTGATCCCATGTCGGTTTTGTAGGTTGAAGAAAACAATTCCGCGTTCAGTGTGGTCTTGCGTAGCTCTAAGGCTGCCGGTAAAAGGGCATTATCGTCAGCTTAGTTTGGGATGTCTTATTTGAACTTGCGATAATCTCTAACTACTCGTTCCATTATCATGGCAATAGTGACTGCGGAAGGGCGGAATGATCGGTATTTCCGTTGTATGCAGGCGTGCAGAAAAAGGTTGATCAATTCTTCAGCATGTGCCCGGCTCTGAACTTTGATAATTTAGCCTTCTAGTTCAAATACTTCTGATTCCCAGTAGAGCAGCACAGCTGGTGAATGGGGTCAAAGAGGCTTGTGCTGCGTAATTTGTTGCCACGAGCCGTAGGTCATTATCGCGATTGACAGCAATACAACCTAAGGATAACGATCCATAACAAAGTGCCTGTATCTTTGGAAAGCATTAAAATGAAAACATCTGAGGGTCTTGCTGAAGTAAGGTACCATCAACGGGAACGACCCAGCGTCCTGTGCAAACCTGACCTGACAAGCCCAACGAAGAACAGCAGACGAATTTTGGCTGGGGAGTCTGGCTGGGAAATGACAGCTTGCGCGTGTCATGTTCCACAGGGTTCCCAATCACCTGCATCTCGTGGACCCCAGCCAGGAAGGCACGAAGATTCCATAGCACTCAGTTCGACAGAAGCCGCTTTCATTTCACGCTACAATGTCATGGACTAGTCGTGCGAAGCTTTCGCCAGTGCGGGTTAGAGCAGCGCTGTACAGAGGACCCACAGTCTTGAGGTCCCTTGGTTTCGTATGCGCGTTTGGTTCTATCGACCCGTCCATGCTGTTAACCGGACTTGCTCAACAGGTTATGGCCGGGATGTTTGAACGTATTCACCTGTTCACTGTTCACCTGTATTCACCTACTTCGCGGCGTGTAAGATCGTGTTGTATGCTTCACAAAAGTTTTCGTGCAAAGTAGGATCTGACAAGTATGTGCACGCTCTTCGCTCCTGTTCAACTTCGCCGTTGACAAAATAATGGGGCTAACGCTGGAAGGTCTTGAAAATCCTGGTGTTCAGATCGTTGTCAGTGAAAACCTTGTTGATGTGGAGTACGTAAACGACATCGTTATCTTTGAAGACGAAGGCTAAGCACACTCCCTCTTGAATAAGCTGACCACCATTTCACTACCTTTCGGCGTACGCCTAACACCTTTAAAGTGCAAAGCCATGCTTGAGAACGTTCAGTGTCTGAACATACTCCTCATGATTCAAAGAAAGTAATTGTAGATGAAGTGTGTCTGATGTAATCAGTGCACGAATCTCAGAAGCAAGAAGCACGTTCGCTATCTCAAACAGAGCAACTCTTCGAAACGTCCCTCACTGGTCGTTTCCCTTGGTCTGAAGTTTTTGGACTCTGTCAATCGTCAGAAGCTGGTCTGGCGATCAAAGCTGTCCCTTCTAAATTTTCATCTCTGTATGCGAACTCTTGTGGGCGCATACGGGTGAGCAGCAGCCTGTAGACCAAGGTCAAGTCTAGAGGTGAGTTACAAAGCTACCATCTCACTGACGTGCTGCTTTAAAACTCAATCTGCTTGTGGAACCGCGCGGATTTAAAGCTGTGATACCAGTTTTTTCCAAGTGCTGCTTGATCTTTTGTTCGAAGGCGTACCTGTAGCCTTTGTACGGTCAAGTGCGACCTGCAAGCTAGCAGGAAATGCAGCCACCGCTTGAAAAACATTACTATCATTACCCATGGATTCATTAAGCCAATCCGCCGACGCTGTTCCATGGTTACGCTGTGTTCATATGAAGTCAAGACATAACCATCCACTTTCAGTGGGCGACCGACGGGCCGTCAGACAGGCCATAGCGCTGTTTTAACGAGGGCTGGGTTACTACCGGGTTGCCCAAGCCTAGACAGGGGAAGTCGAGAGACAGACGTCGGGTTTGAACCACGGACCTTCCGGTCAATAAATTCACGCTCTAACCACAGCCATCTCCCCCACGTACCTGAACTGTATGTACGTTATTATATTCAATGATCAGCCTGTACCATCTTTTCGGATTGGATCGTCCGGAGTGGTTTCTCAGTTCGGCACGCTCTTTGCGACTTATAAGTACAAATTATCACTGAAGGATTTTCAGTCTCTTTGTATCCCTCAAGAACTTCAGGATGAGGAATTTGAGTTTTTCTGTAGACATTTAAGCCATGCTTGTATCGCGGCATACCATATGGATACAGAGACAGGATCATACCTGGTCTGTAATGGACGTGGCCACTAAGTGCTGTGAGATTTTCGCATTATCTTGCTTACGGTGTGCGTGATTTCTCTGGTCTTTGCTGAAGACCCCATAGAGAAGCATAATCAAACCATATAGCTGGAGTTTGTGGAATGTCG